CAACTTTCTGTAAAAAGTTTGTTAAATTTCTCGAGAGAAAGATTTTCATTTTCTCTTAAGAAATTTCATTAAAATAATAGAAGAAAATTTAATTATTAATTAAATCTTTTATTGAATCATATTGATTCTGTGATATTTAATAACATTTATAATTAAGTCATAGTTATGGCTAAAATGGTTAAGCAAGCGTTTATACCTGCTCATCTGTTCCAAATGGATTGCCGACATTGCAAATAACCGTCAGGATATCTTCATCTGTGTCTTCTTCGCAAAATGATAAGATACTACGAAGTACTATTTCCTTCGGTAGGGTAAACACGATTGTCGTAAGATATGCCGGCTCAGCATAATTCTTTAAATGTGTTTCGAAAGTGATGTCATTGGAACCGATTATCCAAGTATTATTTTCCCTACATTTTATTTTTATTAAGGTAAACGTAAACAATTGCTCGCAGAAATTCAATATTGCATTTCGACGTTAAGCGTCACTTGCCTGACCCCCCAAAGTTTTACTGTTGCATGTATGTTGGAATTGCAGATTCTATCTTCTCCGCATTCAATGTCGAAAGGAAGCAAAACCTGCACGCTCTTCATTTTGCTTTCAACAGGGCACGTCTTACAAAATTCAGACGAATCATTGTACGTAAAATCATGAGATGCATAAATGATAATCGGTTCAATAAAATCTTGAATATTATTCTACAAAATATGACATCGTTATTAAATCAGACGTTAGATTTTGTAAATATCAATGTTTACTGTATTTACCGAAAGAGTAATAATAGCATTCACACACGTATGAATGGAAGCATCTATTGAGTACATTTCCAATGAAGTTTCTTTAGTGCGTTTATATTTTTGGTCCACAATAAGAGAGACTTTAAAAGCTACAAATTTTTTTATAAATTGAGATTTATTTTGTAATTATTACCTATGATACGCTTCATAACATACCGTGTATATTTGTACTGTTGTAGTTTTGATATTCAACACACGCTTCAACTAAAAAGTTACTCATGTTCCTTTGTAAAGTGCTTGGAATGGTATATACAGTCAAATTTGTTCTTACAATGGGTTTACTCCGAAGTACTATGACATGTCCTGATTTATACGCGCCTATCGCAATGTCTGCGTATCTATGAACAACAAAGATGTAGATAGTGACTTTCGAAATAATTTATCGTAAAATAATCGTCGTAATTTTTAATCAAAATATTATTTATATTTTTCATAATTTTTAATAAAAATATTTATATATTTAAATATTAACATATATAATTATTATTAAATATTAACATATATAATTATTAAAGCCCTTAATATGTTTATTCTATATATTATGTTTGTCTTTATATGTTTATTCTAACGGTTCAATATTTAAAAAAATTACTATTTTATTAATTGCTATTATTAATTTTAAGAATGGAAATAGTTCAGAATTAACAATAATTTAATAAAATCAAAGTTGCATAATAATTTACTAACCCATTGTTATCGATATCGATCGGTTCAGAAATCGAAAATCCAAATGTTTGTACATCTATTCCTTTCATCGAAGGATTATGACTAAATGATTGCATTGTGATCCTTTGTGACATCGCGGGTTTTACTTTATCTTTTAAACTCATGTCGCCATTATAAATATAAATTGCTCCGGATTCTTCCCAAGGAGCGCTTACTATAATATCTGAAATTCAGCAAAAATAGCGCATTTATTTTTACAATGAGCTTTCTGACGCTGAAGTGTTTTTAAATTAATTACAGCTTTGATTAATTACCACAAAAATCATCTCCATCCATATCACCAACTGCTACTGCGTAACCGAACTGTGCATCTTCTCTGCCACCTTTTAGAATCGTGGCTGTTTCAAACTCTTTCTACATCAAAATAAATAATTTAATAAAATATATTATTTATTTTTATAATTTCTCAGCTAAATAGAACTAAAGCAGCTTATTTACAAATTAATAAAATTATACATACCAGAATATATTGGAGAGTTTTGGTTCATACAATAATATAAAATTTATACCTTTGAGCTGCCCAGATATATGTGAATTCTGCCGTTATCATTCCCCCAATGCGGAGCTCCGACCACAAGGTCGTATAGACCGTCGTTGTTTAAATCACCGCTGGCTAAGCTGGCTCCAAAGAATTCGCCGATGTCACTGCCACGAAGATTCGTAACTAGGGGTATAAAATCTCCGTCCAAATCAACTATAACAACCTATCATATAACACTTAATATCACATGCTATGATCTCCTCTTCTCGGAAGAAATGGAATGTTTTACTTGAATAAATAATATAAATGGAATGCTTTACCTGTCCTATGTAATTCCATCCTGGATCCGCACAAGCGTAAAGGGGTTGATTTCGGTGGAAATAATATCCTGATGTTACCGCATAGCCTATTATGATACAGCTTAATCAAAATCTGTTGTCGTATATATATGATATCATGTCATAGAAATTTTATTTGTTACATAGAATTTGTACCAAATTTCGATAGATCATCATATATCGGTATATTATTTGTAGTTTTCCTATAAATCTCATTAAATTTGTACATCCAAAAACGTCCTATATTGGCACTACCTATAACGTTGTCATTTGGTCTTCCTACAATACGGCTTATTGATCTATATTGTTTCTGTAATAATCAAATTACTCAGTCGTACAAGCATAATCAAATGGTAATAATATTTGACTAAATGATATTAATATTATTAGGTGTTGGAATTAATTCGTAGCGTTTTACAAGTGATGGGAAGTACTTTCATTAATGTATTTTTTAATGCTCATGTGAAATAAATAACATTCTTTCATTAAAAAACGCTACGAATTAATTCCAACACCTAATATATTGAAATAATGAGAATTAATGATTTATAACATATCAAATTGAACAATTATAATTACATACCTGTAAATAAGGTAAAGATACTGCAAAGGCAACGGAGAAACCATGCATTGGATTATACCATGTATCTTTGCTGAAATCTAATATATGTAATATTATTATTGTGTGATTCTTAAATTTATTTTTAAACAAAAATGTATTATAGATCAATATAAGATATTAAAACAAAAATCTTATTGATTGTTAAAAAAAATTAAGGGCCGACTAAGCCTAATTATACATGCTGCAGATTACTGAGTAAATAAAAATTCATCGATTATTAGCAGCCAGATTCAAAATAATGATAAAAAAATAATTACCAAAAGATGTAATTTCAGAGTTTTCCGATTTTAATGTTGCCGATGACGTTTCACCACTATAACACATGCCTTGCAAAGTATTCACGTATGTCGTATTCTTGAACGTGGATATTCTAAGAATAATACGCGGGGCACATATCTGCAAATAAAATATTTAATCAAGTAAAATTTATTTAAGATATATATTTAATTTTAAAATAAAAATTATATTTTTTTAAACAACAAAACATTTTTTTTGTTCAAAATATTCTCTCGCAAAATTTTATACTTTAAACTGTTTCAATAACGATTGAAGAACACAAGAATTAAAAGTCTTAATATATATTTTAAACATTATATATTATAATGCATTGTATCTACTACATGTATATTCTGATACATGTATATTTCATGTATTTATTTTATGTATTAATATAACTTCTAGATTCAATTTTAATAAAATATTTAAATAATTGCAAAATGAGATTTTTTTCTTCTAAATTTTTGCAATTTGCAGTTATATTCTGCTAGAGAGAGAGAACATCCTGTATTATACATTTCCACTGACAAAATTCATAACAAAATGCTTTGCATAATCTATATTTTCAATAGATTTGATTACTTTGGAGTAATAATATTTTGTTTATTAAGAATTGAATTCTAATTTCTTAAGAAAACTTATTATAAATATAAATGTTTCAATATAACAACTCTAATTTCCGTTTTATTTTTCATATATACCGTAAGAAAACCGCTGTACTTTTCTATCGACATTGCACCACCGAACCAGGCATGTTCTTTCTTTACATACACGTGCCTTTTAAGTTGGTCTACATATACTTCTTCATCTTTCATAAAAGTCGGTTTAATTTCTACACATGAACCCGGTAAATTGCATCGATAAACTACACCAGGTTCGTTTAAAAGTCTAAAAGTCGATTGTTTCTGCGTATAATTTCCACGAGGTGCTCCTATAAACAACCTGTAAAAAAAAAAAATATATATATATATATATATATATATATTTCAATATTAAGTTTTATAAGTAATAAATGAAATAACGATTATATTTCATTCTAGTCGTTCTAGAAATGTGTTTTTAAAGAAAAATTATAATATATATAAAACTAAAAAAAGAACGTGTAATAAAATTATGTAAAAAAAATAAAGAACATATTGTATAACAAAGTTGAAAATATAGGAAAAAAAAGGAAAAAGAAAGAAACATAGAAATAGGCTAGTAAATATATTGCAATAGAATTAATTAAATTTTCGTTATTACTTGATAAACTTTTGATATCTTTTCTGAAATATTTTTTGAATACTTCTAAATCTTTTTATTATCTCATTTACTAGTATATATATATATATATAGCTCTACAAATTTTATAAAAATATATTGAATTGATACATATTACCATGAAATATTTTTCTGCAAATCATGATGTAGCAATACTGTATAACCGAAATAACTATGTTCGAATTTCGTGTACAGATACTGATCCGCATTATTCGCACTGTTTGGATATAAAATTGGATAATTTGTATCAATGTTATACGCAGACACAATTAGCAAATTAAATAATAATGTAAATTTCATTGTCGTTGAGATGAAACACTTCGTCACAAATTTTTATCACTACATGAAAAAACAATAATTTCAAACAAATAATTAATTATGTATAAAACTGCACAATAAAAACAATATAAAATTATTTTTTGTATAATATAAAAAATATAATATGTATATCCAACTCAGTATACGAATAAGAAATAACGTGATAAATCATTAACCAGTTTTAAAATAATATACTATCAGAATAACAGGAAGGATGATGATAAGGTAATCGCGACAAATCAAGTAGTTCGTCATTCTAATATTAATTAACATATTTTCTATTATTCATAAATGCTCTTAAATTAATACTGACAGAAGATAATATATAGCAATTAATAAATTATATTTATTGAAAATATACTTTATTCTCAAACATAAATTTTAATATTTAAAATAATCGTGTATTTATATTTAATGAGAACAAGTTAGTCAATAAATTTCATAAATCGAGACAACAAAGTAACATACATTATTTACACAACACGTTCATATTAACATATGAGATTTAAATCAACCGTATAAAATAATACACACTCAAAATTCACACTCACGGAATGCAATATGTGATTTCATAACAACATTAACTATAAATAATTTTATGGAAATCTTTAGAAAAATAATAAAACATATATTATGCATAAAATATAGTTTATATTATAGTTCTAGTAATTCTAATCTTCTGTTGTGTAACAATTAATAAAAGATATAGATATTTTCATAAAAAGAAAAAATCATATAATATTATATAAAACATTCATTAGATGTGCCATGCTACTTGTTAATTTAATTGATTACAAATTTTATATTATTATATATATTATAAATTTAATATGTTAATATTACATATATTTTTTATTATATATAGT